GTTTTAATCTGTTTAGCCCACTTTGTGCACATGTGTGTGTGAGTGAGTGTATGCCATTAGCAAATTGACTACCCTTTTTTAGTACTTAAATAAAGTAATATTGTATTTGTTTTTAATATTTTTTATTTTCAGTACTTTTTTTGCTGATAAGAAATCTATGTTTAGTACTTTTTTACGCTGCTATTGACTTTGAATACGCTTAAGATTCTGTTATTTGTGGAATAAACAAAACATCATTGACAATTACCAAGTTCATTTACATGTGAAGATGTATATATTTAGATTTATTATTACAGATAAGGCCAATGTTTTTTTGTAAAGGACAAAGGTTGTCGTCTTCACTTGAGAGGGAGAGAAAATGTTAGATTGTATTTCAATTAAATTTATTTTGTTATATGTTAAACTTGCCTATATTTGATAACAAAAATTAAGAGAATGACTAAGGAAATAATGAATTTAATAAGGGGATACTTTCCCTAAATACACGTATCTTAAAAGGTATTGGGAGCTTGTTTTATGTTAATGGTTCCGATACTGTAACAGCCAATTATGTGCAATTTTGATTTCATAGATTCCGTTCAGGAATTCTTGATGTTAAAGATGCACCTCGCACTGAAAGGCCGGTCGTCGAAAATGTCAATAAAATCGGAGAAATGATAGTAACATCGCCCAGGAGCTAAAAATCGATCATAATTGTTTTAAACCATTTACAAAAAATATTTCAAATCTGAATACCTTGAGCTTTATACCAGTAAAATTTTATATCATGTGGGTCACGGTTTACAACTGAAATGAGGTCAAAATGTCATATTTTTGTGAATATAAATGTAATAACTGTTATGTAACATTGATATGTGTCAAAATATTAACATGAAATGCCAATTAAACAGATGGAAGTGGTGATTATAATAAAGGTGAAATTTTAAGATCATCATCAAAAACGTCATACTTAAAACTCATAAATATGATTTTTTCCTAAAAAAAATCAGTTCCTGAACCTAGTGCCAAGCAGTGTCAGATGATATTTTAATGATTTTAGCACAATCGATATATGTTCTGACATGTTCCAGAATTTTGCGAGCGTCTGCATTCGCTCATAAACTTAAGAGTTATTACCGATAATATAAAACCCTTCACCACTTTTTGTATATGTATCCCAACAATTTTATGTCAATGTTGCTTCGAGGGAGCACTATACGAACTTAAATATGTGTCTATACGTGAACAGACTAACATCAATCCATGCACATGCCTTTCTGCAACCTATGCCAAATTCCATTTCATTCGGGCAGATTTAGAGTCGTTTGCGTACAATGGAACAAATTTATGTAAATCGATTTATAGCACAATTGCTACACTATATTCGGTATGATGCACTGTTCAAAATTTAACCTCAATCAGACACCCGTTCTATATATGTATGGAAGTTATGTCTGCATCTGCACTAATTTCAAAAAACCAAAATGACATTCTAGTCCCAAGTGTCCCCTTGTCAATCGGGCATACATTACGAGTTTGGTGCACCATTTACTTAATATCGGACGAAAATATATATGTTGGAGCTATATCTAAATCTGAACCTAGTTTCAGGAAATTTTATACATATCATTGTAGACCTAATTCGGACGAATTTATATATGGGAGTCATATCTAAATCTGCACCGATGTTTTCCAATTTCAATAGGATTCTTTCTTAGGTCAAATAAATGAGCTGTGCCAAATTTCATCCAATTCGGAATGCGACCTGTACTTTATTTGCAATTTAACATGCAGAGACGGACGGACGGAAATCGACTTCGAAAGTGATTCCATGCTTATTCTTGAAAGGAACCATGTGTCTATCACGTTTCCTTTTGCCTGTTACAAACATATGCACAAAGATATAATACCCTGTACCAAAGTATGGTGAAGGGTATAAGTAGACGTTGAGAATTGCATGTAATAAAATAATAAACAACAAGTTAAAAAGATGTATTTGGCACGGCCGAACTTTCTAAGCCCTCCCCAATGATAATACAATTCCAAATAAGACTAAATACCGATATGGGTCAATTCTGAATCATGGGTCAATATGAATAAAATTTAGTACGGAGATGTGCTATACAATGAGAACCCAAAATACTAAATTATTTCCAATTCGTATGAAAAACGTGTCCGAAATTCCCAAAATTGCGAATATATCCCATATGCAATACTATTTTAAATATCTAGGTAATAGTAGGAATAAATGTGCCAAATTTCAAATCTCAATCCAAAAAATTGTGAGCTCTATATTGATTTGAACGGACATGCAAACGTGACAAAAATCATTAAAATACCGAACATTGGGGGATATATCCCTAAATGCGCAAAAATGTGCTAAATTCAACTATTGAAAAATTTGACCAATATTTTCGAACTTTTACTTTCTTCTTGCAGATTACGATAATCGCTATATGTGATATTTTTTATTTCATAAACCCAATGCTCTAATTATGGCCAAAAAATTCTATTTCTGACTAATAGTGTAATGGTACCCAAAATTCAGGATACTCAGGCTACCTCTAAAGACATTATTGTTGTTGTACCTGAAAAATGTTGATTAACAAATTTAAAAAACACCATATGGTGTACAATAAAAATGTTCAAAATCTACTGGAACTTTATATGGGAACTATTTAATTGTAAATTGTCTGGTAGTATGTCCTGAGGAAAATAAACGCCAAAATTACGAACACTCAGGTTAGAAAGCTGGAATTAGAACCTCAGTATATCAAAAAGTAAGAGGATTTATTTTACAAATTGCTGACTTTTCGGTGGAAAAATTAATCCAAGAAGATTTCTATTTACACTTTGGAAAAAAATGTGGCTAAAATATTTCAAAACACCGAAAATGGGACGGGACGAAGCGATGTCAAAACATGAACACAATTCGAAAAATTTCTACATACATTTTTTCATTCTCCAAGAAATCGAAGTAGCAATGTACCACGACAATGAAGTTAAAATCTTAATAATAAAAATACAAAAAAAAGCAGTGAGCGGAGCAGTATAGTCGGACGGGGCCGACCAACTACCAACTACCACGAACTCTAACTTTCTGAGGATGTTTATTCCGAGTCTGAGTAATATTATTAATATTACTTGTCCAGATTATCTTCACGGTGGGTTGTGTTGTGATTTTCTGATTATACTCGACTCAAAAACACACAAAAATTAAGTTTTCGGTCCATTTTATCCCAAAATTTTAATCTGATCATCACCGAAAATTGTAGGCGTTGTTCTTGACCATAACTGGAACTTCATGAAGAATTTCACCTGTAAGTATTTGACTGTAACTCCCACATCTGAGTAGATACATCACTATATACACATTTTGTCATTTTTCACACAAAAGTCAGGGTCCATTTGACCCGCTAAATATTGACCGATCTTTATCAAAACATGCATGCTTATTCTCTCGCCCGATCCCCTTCTCCATGCAAATTCGCGGTGTTTGGGTCATAATTGCGGCCTCTGGGTCGACCAGAAAAACCGACAAAAATAATGTTTTTGGTCCATTTCATCCCCTAAATATTAACCGATCTTTTCCAAAAACAATAGGGGTCTTCATTGGCCAGAACCCATCCTACATGCAAAATTTCGTGAAGATTGGTCCATAACTGTGGCCTGTATCGTGTTTACAAATTATAATGGACAGACGGACGGACACACATGTCTAGATCGACTCAGCTAGTCGAGATATGACGATCGGTATACTTAAAGGTGGGTCTAGGACCAATATTTCGCGGCGTTACAAACATTTGGGGCTGCACAAAGCTATAATACCCTGACAACATAGTTCTGTAGGGTATAAAAAAAAACTGGCGTGATTCCGATACATTTCTGAATATTCCTTAATAGTCCCGACAAAATGTATAATATTATATTCAATTTTGTTGAAAACCTTGCCCGAACTACAAAATAATGGGATATAGGATATAGCCTGAAGCTTAGAGTAATATTTTGTAGGAATATTCAATATGATAACACAATAGATTACCGTAAATAAGGTCGAAAAACTTAACCAGAATTCCCAAAATATAAAATATTGGGTGGTATCGTTTTATAGAATATATAGCCTGAAACTTTGGCTAATATGTAAAATATTTAGTAAAGATTTAGTTTGACAATATCAATGAGATTAGGTCGCATCCGTTACTTGGGGGATATAGCAAGACATGGACCAATATATCCTATTTTAAATATCTAGAAAATCTTTTCAAATCTCCACCTTGAAAAGTGCGAGCTCTATAGTGATTTGAACATATATACAAGCGGCTCAGCGGCCAATTGTTTTTTTGCATCATGTCTTCGGAAAACAAACATTGTGCACCACGACAATACGAGCTCTCACACAACGACTCAATTTAAAGTCTCTTTGTTCGGCCAAAACGTGACGTTTTTGCTTCCTCGCATAGCCTTAAAAATGTGTGGTCAACGATTTTCATCGTCAGAAGATGATGTAAATGCTCAAAATCCATGCAATAAAGGTATCTCAATCGGAGTAGACAAAGTGCTTCGACAATTGGTTTGAGGGTATATTAGTAGAGCCTTCTGAACAAAAACTTATGTAGACTTGAACCTCCAGTATATGACAATACGAAAATATATTTCTGTGGCAAGAGTCGTCTAATACAGTAATAAGGATGAATGTACATTACCCCCATTGGTACATTTATCACGAGTTCCCGATTTTGCTTTTAATTTGTAAACAATAATTTTTCCTTATTTTATAAATAATTGACAACGTTTTTTTCCTGAAAGTGCTAAATTATATTTTGCATGATTTTGTTCTGGTCAGAAGTTGTCCCATCTAAATAAGATCCAGTTTTAATAAAATATATGTATATTTTCAAATTTCGTAGACAAGTTTTTATTCTCTTTGTTTGTAAAAATTTTTAAAACAAAATTATCACAATTTTTCGGTCACAACAAATTCTATTTACAAAATTACCTATATATATCCAATTTAAAATTTAATTCACAGCCCCTGTTAAGGTCACTTAATTTTCTTTTGGTGTACCCAGAACGGCACGAACAACATGACGATTGAGTGGCAACCAGCACGAGAATACACGATGAGCAAACGTGCAAACATCCGATTCCCATTCATTGTGATCGATACATTTTTCCAAGCCATGTTGAACGGAACTCAAATATTGAGTCCTGTTTTGGGTATACTGCTTGTAGATGGCCTTTTCATCGAAACCCTTCTTTTCGCTAAATATGCCCATTTTTTCGACCCAACATTTGATGTAGCATTTCGTGCGTTTGTGATCGGGGAAGTTATACTGCAGGTATTGTTCGTAGATTTCATCGGGAACGTTATATTCTTCACGACATTCTTCGTGAGCTTTAAGAGCATCCTCGGGCGTGCGCACCTCAAATTTGGCAGCAGCAAAGGCCTGCTTGAAATAACATCAAAGCATTTAAATTAAAAACAAATATCCCTAAGAATATTTTTGTAAATCTCAAGACTTACCAAAGCCAAGCCACAAAGGAAAAGACACACAATTTGGAATTTCATTGCTGCGAGAATTGTTGTTTATTTCTCAACGTCTTTAGATAAACTGAATCGTCGTGATGCTGAATTATTTCGATATAAAAACTATTGTCTCTTTTTTTCCAGAAATTGATACCAACCACCATCAACCGGTTTATTGTTTCTGCATACAAATCGTGGTCCGGTTGTTTTTCAAGACTGGTTTCAAACTTGCATAATATGGACCGCAAAGTAAACATAAATGACAACCAAAAAGGTGGGGTAAGGCGGCCGGTGCTTGATGTCTGTCTTGTTACCCAGTCAAGGTGCCAGTGTACCAGAGGAGCTTTGCCATTAAGAAAACGACAAGCAAGTTGTGAGGTGAGGCGAAGGAAAGTGCCAGAAGATATTTAATTGACTTTAATTAGTTAACGCTCAAATGTCAACATAATTTCATGTGGCAAAATAAAACAAATGATTTACTAATCTCAAATACTCGAATGTAAACAAACGACACAGTGTCTAAGAGAAATACTAAGTAAATAGAAATTGCTTTTATTGAAACCAGAAAATTCGATTTCTACTTTGTATTATTAAGGGCATTATAGAATATTCGACAAAAATAATAATACATTTAAAAATAAACGAAAACTTCAGATAGGAAACTGTTTCAACCGAGAATTTTTTAACAATATAGAAAGAAGAATATTTTTTCTATAGAAAAAAATTGCTCTGAACCATCTGAAGAATATTTTTTCTATAGAAAAAAATTGCTCAGAACCCCCTGAGGAATATTTTTCTATAGAAAAAATTGCTCAGAACCCCCTGAGGAATATTTTTCTATAGAAAAAATTGCTCAGAATCCTCTTAGGAATATTTTTTCTATAGAAAAAAAATTGCTCAGAATCCTCTGACGAAAATTTTTCTATAGAAAAAAATTGATCAGCCCACTGAGGAATATTTTTTCTATAGGAAAAAAAATTGCTGAGCCCACTGAGGAATATTCTTTCTATAGGAAAAAATTGCTCAGCCCACTGAGGAATATTTTTTCTATAGAAAAAAAATTGCTCAGCCCACTGAGGAATATTTTTTCTATAGAAAAAAATTGCTCAGCCCACTGAGGAATATTTTTTCTATAGAAAAAAAATTGCTCAGCCCACTGAGGAATATTTTTTCTATAGAAAAAAAATTGCTCAGCCCACTGAGGAATATTTTTTCTATAGAAAAAAATTGCTCTGAACCCTCTGAACAATATTTTTTTTATAGAAAAAAATTGCTCAGAACCCTCTGAGGAATATTTTTTTTATAGAAAAAAATGCTCAGCCTTCTGAGGAATATTTTTTCTATAGAAAAAAAATTGCTCAGAATCCTCGGAGGAATATTTTTCTATAGAAAAAAATTGCTCAGACTACTGAGGAATGTTTTTTCTATAGAAATAAATTGCTCAGACCACTGAGGAATATTTTTTCTATAAAAAAAATTGCTCAGACCACTGAGGAATATTTTTCTATAGAAAAAGAATTGCTCAGCCCGCTGAGGAATATTTTTTCTATAGGAAAAAAATTGCTCAGCCCGCTGAGGAATATTTTTTCTATAGGAAAAAAATTGCTCAGCCCGCTGAGGAATATTTTTTCTATAGGAAAAAAATTGCTCAGCCCGCTGAGGAATATTTTTTCTATAGGAAAAAAATTGCTCAGCCCGCTGAGGAATATTTTTTCTATAGGAAAAAAATTGCTCAGCCCGCTGAGGAATATTTTTTCTATAGGAAAAAAATTGCTCAGCCCGCTGAGGAATATTTTTTCTATAGGAAAAAAATTGCTCAGCCCGCTGAGGAATATTTTTTCTATAGGAAAAAAATTGCTCAGCCCGCTGAGGAATATTTTTTCTATAGGAAAAAAATTGCTCAGCCCGCTGAGGAATATTTTTCTATAGAAAAAAATTGCTCAGACCACTGAGGAATGTTTTTTCTATAGAAATAAATTGCTCAGACCACTGAGGAATATTTTTCTATAGAAAAAGAATTGCTCAGCCCGCTGAGGAATATTTTTTCTATAAAAAAATTGATCAGTCCACTGAGGAATATTTTTTTCTATAGGAAAAAAATTGCTCAGCCCGCTGAGGAATATTTTTTCTATAGGAAAAAAATTGCTCAGCCCGCTGAGGAATATTTTTTCTATGGGAAAAAAATTGCTCATCCCGCTGAGGAATATTTTTTCTATGGGAAAAAAATTGCTCAGCCCGCTGAGGAATATTTTTTCTATAGGAAAAAAATTGCTCAGCCCGCTGAGGAATATTTTTTCTATAGGAAAAAAATTGCTCAGCCCGCTGAGGAATATTTTTTCTATAGGAAAAAAATTGCTCAGCCCGCTGAGGAATATTTTTTCTATAGGAAAAAAATTGCTCAGCCCGCTGAGGAATATTTTTTCTATAGGAAAAAAATTGCTCAGCCCGCTGAGGAATATTTTTTCTATAGGAAAAAAATTGCTCAGCCCGCTGAGGAATATTTTTTCTATAGGAAAAAAATTGCTCAGCCCGCTGAGGAATATTTTTTCTATAGGAAAAAAATTGCTCAGCCCGCTGAGGAATATTTTTTTTATAAGAAAAAAATTGCTCAGCCCGCTGAGGAATATTTTTTTTATAAGAAAAAAATTGCTCAGCCCGCTGAGGAATATTTTTTTTATAAAAAAAAAATTGCTCAGCCCGCTGAGGAATATTTTTTCTATAGGAAAAAAATTGCTCAGCCCGCTGAGGAATATTTTTTCTATAGGAAAAAAATTGCTCAGCCCGCTGAGGATTATTTTTTCTATAGGAAAAAAATTGCTCAGCCCGCTGAGGAATATTTTTTCTATAGGAAAAAAATTGCTCAGCCCGCTGAGGAATATTTTTCTATAGGAAAAAAATAGCTCAGTCCGCTGAGGAATATTTTTTCTATAGGAAAAAAAATTGCTCAGCCCGCTGAGGAATATTTTTTCTATAGGAAAAAAATTGCTCAGCCCGCTGAGGAATATTTTTTCTATAGGAAAAAAATTGCTCAGCCCGCTGAGGAATATTTTTTCTATAGGAAAAAAATTGCTCAGCCCGCTGAGGAATATTTTTTCTATAGGAAAAAAATTGCTCAGCCCGCTGAGGAATATTTTTTCTATAGGAAAAAAATTGCTCAGCCCGCTGAGGAATATTTTTTCTATAGGAAAAAAATTGCTCAGCCCGCTGAGGAATATTTTTTCTATAGGAAAAAAATTGCTCAGCCCGCTGAGGAATATTTTTTCTATAGGAAAAAAATTGCTCAGCCCGCTGAGGAATATTTTTTCTATAGGAAAAAAATTGCTCAGCCCGCTGAGGAATATTTTTTCTATAGGAAAAAAATTGCTCAGCCCGCTGAGGAATATTTTTTCTATAGGAAAAAAATTGCTCAGCCCGCTGAGGAATATTTTTTCTATAGGAAAAAAATTGCTCAGCCCGCTGAGGAATATTTTTTCTATAGGAAAAAAATTGCTCAGCCCGCTGAGGAATATTTTTTCTATAGGAAAAAAATTGCTCAGCCCGCTGAGGAATATTTTTTCTATAGGAAAAAA